TAGCGTTAAGCAGGGACGGGGCGCTCACCTGCTTCACCTCTAGCCGCACGGCCTCCAGGCACTGGGAGTGGCCCTCCTGCAGGATGTTCAGCTTTGACTTGGCAAGGTGCAGTGGCGTGCGGCCAGCTCGGTCCAGGGCATCCACACGGGCACCTGTGGGTGTGGGCAGAAGTGAGCATGCTGAGGAGGGGAGCATGAGGGGACAGAGGCGGGGGAAGGGACCACATACCTCCTCGCAGCAGGGTGGTGATGACAGGAACGTGGTTGGTGCAGGCCGCTGAGGAAGAACAGGACTTGAGGCCCGGGGCCCAGGGGAGCCTGGCCTTGTGCGCCCACCGGAGGGCACAGGACGGTGTCTCTATGGCTGCACCAGAGCCACCCCCCCCCAGCCAGCACTGCAGGGAACAGCTGGGCAGGCCTTGGCGTGCGTCAGGCCCAGCTCCCTCCCTGTACAGCTAGGGACACTGAGACCCGGGGAGTCAGCCACGGGAATCCCAGCAGCAGGGTGGGACCTGTCTCGTCACTGGTCTCACATCTTGCCTCCTCCAGCAGAGCCAGGAAAGTTTGGGTTGCTAATCAGTGCCGCCCAGGGCAGGCCAACTGCTGAGTGGCTGAGTGATGGGTAAGTCCACGGAATGCAGGCTGGGAGCCGTGCAAGCCTGAGGCCAGGCTCTCCCCAGGATGCCGGGAGCCTCCATCAGAGAAGCCTGTCCACGCTGCAGCAAAGGCCTTGTGGCGGCTTCCAGGCACTTACCCAGGTGCAGAGGGGTGTTCCCCAGCCCGTCTCGCTGGTTGGGATCAGCACCGTGGTCCAGGAGCAGCTGCACTGCAAACAGGAAACCCCAAGAGGCACTGTTGAAACCTCCTGTGACGTCTCTACTCCCCACTCCTGCCCGAGGCGGAGAAGCTGCTCAAGGCGTGGCGCACCGAGGTCCCCTCGGTTGTTTCGCTCTTTCACTCACTCACTCCACTCACTCACTCCCCGAGGCTCGTGTCCAGGACCCTAAGGCCCAGACAGAGGATTCCAGGAGGCCTCATAACCTGGTAGGTGGTGTGGGACTGGGATTTTAAGGGTTAAGGAAAGTTCTTCCCACACCAACTGAAGGCTCTCCAGGGTAGCTTCCATTCCTCCACAGCCAAGGGTCATGGTGGGAATCAGGCCACTAGATGGCGCTGAGCTCCAATTAACATCCCCCTCCTCAGCTCTAGGCCTTCTGGAGTGGCTTCCTTACTGCCAGCGCTTGAATTTCCCCTGTGGACACACAGGCGGGCTAACAGGGCTCCAGGACACCTACGGGGAGGCAGGGCTGAGTCCCAGAGGGACGGCCTGCCACCCACCCGGGGGGACGGCCTGCCACAGCCTGTGCTGCACTGCCAGGGTGAAAACAGCAGGTGCTTCCTGAGTCACACAAAACGGCTGGGTTTTGACTCCACGGGTTCCTGTGTGCCTCTCTGTCCAGCCACCCCAGCAAGTCAGGTTCTCCCCACATCTGGGAATGAGGACGCCGGGCCTCAGAAAAGCCAAACAACCTGCCCAAGGGGGCATACGCTAAGTTAAAAGGTAGGACCTGGTCAAGAACCCAGGCTGTCTGTCACCTTTGTCCCTTTTTGGGAGGTGGGGTGGGCGACTTCTGTATTTAAAACACTATTTATAGTTACCACATACACCTATGATTAAAGACAAGAAGCTGCCTGGCGGGGATCTAGGCTTGACCACTGAACCACCTGCCTTCTCCCATCACAGCTTTACCATGTCACCTCTGAAAAGCTTCCTCTGTGAACAGGAATAATACACTTCCACCTCACAGGATTACAGTAACTACCAAGTCCCCGACCCACGGCAAGTGCGCATAATGTTACTTATTGACACGGTCATCGCCCTCATGTCACCCTGCCTTTCTCTGACGGATCAGGCTGAAGGCTTCAGTGACTATAAACCCAAATCTAGTTGGACCCCTCTGACTCTTGTTTACTGAAAAGACTTCCTTCCATGGAAACTCAGTGGGAAAAGAATGGCACCATCACTCAATGGACTTGGGTCACACTGGCTATCCATGGCAGGCGGGGAGAATGAACCTTAGCCCCTACTACACACCACTGCTGTTGTCAGATGCCATCAAGCGGCCCCAACGCACAGGGACCTCCGCACCACGGAACGGAGCGCTGCCCAGGCCTGCATCATCCTCACGAAGGCTGCTGTGTTTGAGCCCAGTGCAGCAGCCACTCTGTCGATCCATCTCATTGAGGGGCTGCCTCTTTTTCGCTGACCCCGAGGGTCACACCCTACACAAAAACTAGTTTGGAAAGGATCACAGATCTGAATGTGAAAGCTAAGGGTCAGACTTCTAGAAGAAACAAAGGAGAGTATCTTCCTGACCTTGGGGTAGGCAAATATTTCTGAAATAAATCATAAAACAAACCACTCCCCATAACAAACAAAATTGATCAATCAGATTTCATAAAATTAAGAACTTTTGTTCAGTGAAAGATGCTATTCTGAGAACAAAAAAGCAAGCTTGGAAAAAGGCATGTCATTTATATTAAACAAATGGTTTATTTCCAGAATTTATAAATCAGTAAGAAAAAGATAAACTGAAAGACCCACTGCAGGTGAGTTAATTCCAACTCACAGCAACCCTACAGGACAGAAGAGAACTGCCCCATGTAAAGATTTACGAGGCTGTAAATCTTTACAGAATTAGACTGCCCCATCTTTCTCTCATATAGCAGCTGGTGGGTTTGAATGCAGACCTTTTGGTTAGCAGCCGAGCACTTAAACGCTGCTCCACTAGGACTCTTTTAAGAAAAAGACAAGCTGTTTGAAGGACAAATATTGTATTAGTTCATTATTGTAAAAGGTCAAGGAAAGGTTTATATATGGAAGAAAACTTCCTTTGTTGGTTACGGGGGTGGGCAGGAACACTGAAAAAATAAAAAACAACTCACTGCCGTTGAGTCAGATCTGACTCATAGCAACCCCTTCCTTGGGTTTCTGAGGTAGTATCACTACGGAAGTAGATTGCCAACCTTCCTCCCAAAGAGTGGCTGGTGGATTTGAACAGCTAGCCTTCTGCTTAGCAGTCAAATAAACTTAGGCACTATGCCATTTTTTAATTTATTTTTATGGCAGGAGGGGAGAATGAACCTTAGCCCCTACTACACACCACCGTTGTCGTTGTCAGGTGTTATTTATTTAAAAATAAAATTTTAAAAAGGACAAGCAGTTTAAAAATGGGCAAAAGACTTAAACAGATACTTCATAAAAGAGACTATAAAAAAGGGCCAGTAACCATATGACTTATGGCCACATGGCCAGCAACGATGTTAAGCAGGGTAGGAATGGGCGTTAAAATGGGGGATTTAAAACAATGTCTTACTTAAAGTAATAAAATACTCATGAACAAATATGAAAACAAAGTAACATTTAGGAGGACAGGTGGCCCGGGTCTACCTGTCATGAACACCCACTGTTTCTGGCATACACCACCACCCCACTCCTGTGAGGTTCTAGCCTGCCGCCAGTTCCAGGACTCCTCCCAGGCCCAGGCATGGGGCCGGACCAGTGTCCAGGAGGCCTGGGCTGCTGGCAGCGTCTTGCCCACCTCTTGGGCAGAATCTGTCTCTGGCAGCAGAGAATGCAACCCGCGGGCAGAGACACAGACAAGTGCGGGCAAGAGAGGGAGAGCACGGGCTTTGGGCTTTGGTTCTGACCGAAACCTAACTGAGAGAGGGCTTTCTAATTAGCTCCTGCCACCCCCCCACCCCCTGGGAGCTCTGGTAGCATAGTGGCTAAGACACTTGCCTGCTAACCAGACGGCTGGCGGTTCAAACCCACCAGCCACTCCTCGGAAGGAAGGTTGGGCAATCCTACTTCCGTAGTGATACTGCCTCGGAAACCCAAGGAGGGCTCGCTATGAGTCGGGGCCGACTCGACGGCACATAACAACAACCCCCACCCCCCATGTTGGGAGACCCTCACACCAGCCCTGGAAGCCGGGCTTCCTCACCTGTAAAATGGGGACACATGGCACCTGCCTTGTAAGTGAAAGGTGGGTAAGTTGCCTGTTGCATGGTGAGTGCTCACAAAATGAGAGTTACTGTTATCATGTACCTTCCTTCACCTTTGTGCATGAGTGTGTAACACACATGCACACACACACACACACACGGAGAGAGGTAGAACCACCACAGTTCTCTATCGCAGACGTTTCCATAAGAGCCTACTGTATTTTTACACAAATAATGCACGTTATATGGCTTTTTGCAAACCACATGACCCCCTCATACATTCATTTCCTGTGCACACTGTGTGTTCTATATGTGTGCATGTTATATGCATGTGTTATGTGGGTGCGTTATATGTGAAAAATACAGTACATCTGGGCCACTTTGCATTACCGTGGCCTAGAACATAACAGCCCTCAAACACGTGCTGAATGATAAGTGGAACTGATTTAGAAGCAGACTCTACATGGCTCCTAATTGGAGACTTCTCATCAACCTCACAGCCAATCATATTCTCTCCCCACATCTCACCCTTCCCCAACTTGGCACCCTAAGGAGTAACAAGTGAGGCACTACCAGGTGTTCTTTACACCCAGCACCCGTGGCACCCCAACCCTGTGAAGGGAGCAGCATTTCCCCCAAGGCCTCTGGAGAGACGTGACTGGCCCGGCCCGCTGCCTTCCTCCCCGCCCAGGACTCACCAATCTGGTCGTTGCCATTACAGGAGGCAAAGTGCAGGGCTGTGCGGCCCTTGTCGTCAGCTGCGCAGGGATCCACGCCATCTTCCAGCAGCTGCTGCACTGACACCACCAAGACACGGGGAGGAAGGGGCGAGAGGAGTGGAGCGTTAGCCAAGCTGCAGGCCCCGTGGAAAGGAGAGGGCCACTCAGGGCCCCTGCAGGCAAGGCATCGACACCGCACAGGGGAGCCAGCCCCTCTGGGACACACACCGAGGATCACGGACTGTGGGTGCTCAAGCTTCATGTTCAGGGACGGATTGCAGCAAGGGAACGCTGGCCCTCAGGACCAGAACTGTGGAGTCATGGAAATCCCCAGCACAGCCATGGCCCACCCCCGACCCGAGCGTGGACACACATCCACTCCAGCTGGCCACGGCTGCCCCACTGCTGACCAATGCTTACTCCATTCCAGGGCGCCGCCTGCGGGACTGGAGCACCATGGGGCCACACAGACCTGGGTTCAAACCCAGTTACTCATCTGCACTGGGTCTTAAGTCACAACCTCTCTGGGCATTACACTCCTCATCTATGAAATGGGACTGACATCCCTGACTCTGGACAGTTGTTTGGGGATTAAATGACACACTGAAAGCCTAGCATTGGGCCCAGCACAAGCCAGGAGTTTAACAGTCAGCTGCTCCCCTTTTCTAAGGAACTCAGGTGGTGTAGTGCCTAAGGCACTTGACTACTAACCAGAAGGCTAGCGGTTCAAATCCACCAGCCGCTCCGCGAAAGGAAGACTGGGCAATCTACTTCTGTAAAGATTTACTGCCTCAAAGGAGGCTGTTATGAATCGGAATTGACTAAATGGCCGTTGAGTTTGGTTTTTTGGACTCCCCTTTTCTCTCCTCCTGGCTGGGGGAGGGGAATGCAGCCACCCTGTGTTATGGGTTGAGTTACGCCCCCCAAAAAAGACAAACTTAAGTCCTAACACCTGCACTAGTGAATATGACCTTGTTTGGGAAATAGGGTTTTTCTATGCAGATGTTAGGTTAATGTTGATGGAGTTATGTCAGGGTGGGTCTGAATCCTAACTCCTTCTGGGCGGCATCTTATAGACAGAGACAGGGAAACAGTCACACAGGGAAAGCCAGCATGTGAGGAGCCGTCTACAAGTCAAGGAACACCAGAGCCATCCAGGGCCACCAGACGCTGAAAGAGACGAGGAAGGCTCTTCCCACAGACAGCACAACTCTGTCGACGCCCTGAATTCAGACTTCCAGCCTCCAGAACTGTGGGAAGATAAAATTAAGACACCCTGGAACCACTGCCTCTGGGGGAAACAGGGCTGCGAACAAAGCAAATTTCAAATGAGCACGTGGCTCCCGGGCTTTAGAGGGTGAACCTTGGAGGTTCTTCTAACGTACTCAGCCTCAGACTTCAAGAGGCGGTGGTCACAGGGCTAAGTGCCATTCTAGCACCACGGTGCCTTGGGTCACACACATCTTGGCTGAGAGCTTTAAATAAGTTACTTCCTCCTCTGGGACCATGAGGCTAACACAAGCCCTTCCTTCACAGGGCCGTCATGGGGAGCAAATGCACTGCCACGTGTAACGGGCTACAGAGGTGCCCGGCCCTCAGCAAACGCTCCACAAACATCAGCTACTGTATCGTCATCACCAAAGTCCCCTTCCCCTAAGTCAGCTGCCAGTCAGAGCTCGCCTGCTTCCCATGCTGATACTTCCACTGCACTGGCAGGGAGACGCGGGCCGCATGCCCAGCCTTAGCCTAAGCTGAACGCCAAAAGGAAGAAGGACCACGCCAACAGTCCAGCGTGGTGGCAAGAGCTGGGCTGGGAGGACGCAGGCCTGGATTTGGGCCCCAGGTCACCAGCAACTTTTACATGTCCTTGGGCAAGTTTCTCAGCCTCCACTTCTCAGTTTACCCCCCTGCCAGGTGTGAAGAATCTCCACCCTAAAATCTTCTGGGATGGAAATGCTGTCCTGGGTGCCGTCAACACCGTTCCCAACCCCTAGAGACTCCATGTGACGTTTTGTGGCTGTAATCTTAATGTAAGCAGACGACCGGGCCTTACTCCTGGAGAGCCACTGAGGGATTCAGACCACAGACCTTTCAGTTAGCAGCTGAGTGCTTAACCACTGCACCACCAGGGCTCCCATTCAATGAGAATAACGGACACGAAATTCCTCCTTGGGAAAGTATGGCGACGCACACACACACCGGGCCTCACTCACACAAGCTGGGACACGCCGACTGAAATGCGGCATTGCTGGCAGACGCCACTTCAGACCAACACTTTAATCTCCCCTCCCCCAGCAAACTTTTCAAGGACTGGGTGCTTCCGGCAAAGCTCAGGATGCCCTCCTCCGAGAAGCTGCCCCATCTCCACCCCCCTCCACATCTCCTTACTGCCACGCTCACCCAGTGACTGGAGAGGAACTGCGCTGTCACCAGCCAGGCGTCAGGAACCTAGTGCTAGTCCAGCCCCAGCCCAGCAAGCTGTCACGCCCGTTTTACAGACTGGGAGACTGGGGCTCAGCAAGATTACGGAAAATACCCAAGCCACATTCATGCCGCTAACAGAAGGCAAAGCTGGGATATAACCCCAGGTTTCCCTGGCTCCTGAATTTACACCTTCCCAACCAAATACAGTCGGGGCCAACTTGATGGCAAACAACAACAACAAAATACACCACTTCAGGGTTTTTTTTATTGTTTTGCTTTGAAACCGGTCTTCTTCTCCAGCTACACTGTAGGCTTATGTTTTATGTTCTTTATGTTTTATGTTTGTTTATCTTTATGCCCCTGGTAGCAAGCATAGAGGAACCCTGGAGGCACAGTGACTAAAGCACTCAGCTGCCAACCGAAAGGTCAGAGGGTCGAACCCACCAGCCACTCTGCAGGATAAAGACGCGGCAGTCTATAGGGTCACTATGAGTCGAAATCCACTCAACAGCAGTGGGTTTGGTTTGGTTATCAAGCATAGTGTCCCACCAGTCAGATCTACTCAGTAAATGTTGCTGACTGAATAAATGATGAGGTGGGACAGGGCTGATGAGAGTGGAGGAGAAAGCAGAGAGCATCAGGGCGTCTCAGTGTTCATTAGCACATTCACAGGGCCCAGCAAGCATCGAAGAGAGAAAACCCCATCAAAGAGACGATACAGCTGAAGCTTCGTGACTTACACAGCTGTGGTATTTCTGGAGCGCACATCAGCATAGGTTAGGAGCCATTAACCCCTGCACACCCTTTGCTGTAATAATCTCACACCTGGGAAATTACCTCAAAAATGAAACCCTGTGTGCAAACATGACCGACGGGAGAGCTCTGCTCTGTCCCTGTGAGGGACTGTGCGCAACTGTTAAAAACAGTGGTCATATCTGGGGGTGGGACCATAAGATGCTCCTTGCTTTCTATTTCATAAGCTTTAAAAAAGCATTTTTACAGCAAGTGTTCATTCTATTAATAGGAGAAAAACATAACATTTTCATTTTGAAACAACGAATGGTTACAAAGAGTATAAAAATATTTGTAATACACAAAATTTTTTACACGCTAAGTAACTGTATCCACGCAGTTTGCAAGGAAAAGAAACTCACAAAACTATGAACAATGGTTACTTCCTCGCTGACAGTACGAGTGTTTTTCTTCTGTATTTCTCTATTTTTGAAAATCTTTTAAATGCACACATATATTTAAAATATTTAAACTATGGAATCACAGAAAAGCACTTAATGGTAAGTGACAAAAAGCAGGGTGGCATATTTTTTATGTCCACTGCAATCACTAAACTACATAAAAAAGCAGCAAACATGCACAGAAAGAGCACAAAATGCTGGCCGTCCACAGAGGGCAGAGGCGGCTTCTCCAGCAGCTTCCGAGTCGGGGCCCTGGGGGCCTGGTAGTACCCTTAGAAGGAAGGCAGGTGTGCCAGCAGCTCTGCAGGGAAACCACAGCCTTTCTTTCCAAATAATAAAACCACCGTGTGAATACCCACTTCAAGATGAACCGCACTTGCAGTGGAAGGTAAGTGTCAAGAAACACGAAGAGAACACTGCAGCACTTTTCACAACAGCCAAAAAGTGGAAACAGGTGAAATGTCCATCAACAGATGAGTGGGTCAACAAAACCTGGTACAGACATACAGTGCGATATTCTCAGCCAAGGGAAGAAATGAAGTCCTAATGCATGCCACAGCGTGGATGAACCTGAAAACATCATGCTGAGCAAAATGGGAGACACAAAAAGACAAGTACTGCAGGATCGTAGATTGCCCAGCCTTCCTTCCGAAGAGTGGCTGGTGGGTTTGAACCGCCAGCTTTCTGGTTAGCAGTCAAGTGCCTTAGGCACTATGTCACCAGAGCTCCCAAACAAATATATAGGAACTGTTTTGGTTACCTAGTGCTGCTCTGGGAGCTCTGGTAGCGTAGTGGCTAAGACACTTGCCTGCTAACCAGACGGCTGGCGGTTCAAACCCACCAGCCACTCCTCGGAAGGAAGGTTGGGCAATCCTACTTCCGTAGTGATACTGCCTCGGAAACCCAAGGAGGGGTCGCTATGAGTCAGGTTTGACTCGACGGCACATAACAACAACAACAACAACAACAGTGCTGCTCTGACAAGCATATACCACAAATGGGATGCTTGAAAAAACAGGAGTTTACTCTCTTATAATTTGGAGGCTTTAAGTCCAAGTTCAAAGTGCCAGGCTCTAGGGGCTAGGTGAAAGCCCCTCAACCTTGGGCTTTAGCTCTGCCTCCTGCTCCTGACCCACTGAGCAGGAGGCTTTTCTTCACTCAGCTGCTAGCTGCTGAGACCAACAAGCCCAAGGTTCACAAGTAAAAAGGCACAGTCCGAATGTGCCATAAACTAGAAACCGTTCCCCAAGGCTTCTGCTTATATACAGGAAGCAGACCACATCCCCAAGGCAGCTACTCAGCTGCTCACAGTAGATTCCACCATGGAGTTGATGACCATCATGGGGAACACTATATCCAGCTCCCCAGCCACTCAACCAGGCCCAACCGAGTTGACACACAAACCTAACCACCACCAAAACCAAAACTTGTTAGTGGTGACCAAGCACGGAAACAAACAAA